AATAAGTAGAAGTTGTTGTTTTCTATTGCACTCACACATGCAAAAAAAATCCCCAGCCCAACACAAAACCAAAATAAACAAACAAAAAACCAACCAACCAAACAAACAAAAAACAAAACCAAAACAAAATAACCTTATGGAAGAATGACAAACGGTACAAGCAGCCAGAAGCCAACAAGAGGTTGTACTGAAAGTTAGAGAGCAGCACTTTCTGGCTGTCAGCTGGAGCACTGCAATTCAGTCCAGCAATGGCAGAGTCTGACAGGCTCAGAGATGTTACCAAGAAGGTTTTATCTATTTATTATTTATTTATCTATTTATCTATTTAGATATTTTATCTATTTATCTATTTATCTATTTTCTTCTGTGCAGAAGTTAGGGAAGATGCTGTAAAATTCTTTAGCACCTCATGTACAATCCCTATATTTGTGGGTAATGCCTAGTTTTGTACCACACAGTGGTTACTGCAAATGCCAGAGATTAATGTGGCCTTGTGTTAACTCCCTGCATTGTGACTAATAAGTCTTGTGCCAGCTAATGCTTCCTTGTTTACTTGTATCAGTGACTAATAGGTGCTCGCTGGTATCTTAGTTTTGAGAACAGAGATAGAGTGTCAGAGTAAAGAGTGATAAAAGAAGTGCCTCATAACCACATAACAGAGATACTCTCAAGGAAAAAAGATTCATCAGAGGGTGCAGTGCCATAGAAGGGAATTTTGAGGAATAGGATGTTCCCAAACCAGCAACACAGACCCTCAAAAGACCCCTACTCATATCAAAATAAGTTCATGGTAAATAATTAGCATGTATGCATCCAGGAAATGTAATGAGTAAGTGACAGAAATGTGATGAACAGGTTCTAGTTTCATTCAGGTTTCAACAGGTTCTATTACCTGGTCTGTCAGACTGCTGTCCATATCCAGGATAATTCCCCATGCATCCAGCACTGTTGGATTTCTAACACAGCAAATTGTTTGGAGAGTTTATTTCCCAGTTTTCGGTGCCAGACACACTGAAGCTGTCACCTTTCCCAGATTCACTAGTCACAGAGCAGAAATATTATATCAAGTTTTTCAATGTGACTGGCAATGGATATTGACTCAGTATCATCCCTGTTCTAGTGTTTCTTTGTTATTTGGTTGGTTTTTGGTTGGTCAGAGATTTTTTATGCAAACGTTAGAAAGAAAAAATAGAAAAAATAGGTGAATGGAAAAGGTGAATGAAGTCAAAATCTTCATTTCTATCTGTATTTGGTTTGTGTGACCAGATTTTGGTGGGGGGGAGTGGAGGGGTGGGTGGTGCTGCAGAGAGAGAGACTACAAGTGTGGCTTCTTTGAGAGGCTGCCAGAAGCTTCCACCATTTCCGAGGCCAAGAAAACCCAACTGGAGTAAAGCCTCTGAGATAAGAGGCACAACACCAGGTATTTGAGAAGAGGAAAACGTTATTGCACAGATTTAATCGCAGACAGAAAAGAGCAGACTGGAAACAAGTTCGAGGAGCAGCCCTGCAGACAGGCAGGGCAGGGCAGAAGGAGGGGCATTCCCCTGCAGCCCCTGGAGCAGCCCATGGTGAGGCAGCTGTGCCCCTGCAGCACAGGGAGGGCACGGGGGAGCAGAGATCCAAGTCAGCCCCTGCAGGAGCCCAGGCTGGAGCAGGGAGACCACAAAGCCACAAAGTGAACCTATAGGAAGCCCATGATGGAGTAGGGTCCTGGCAGGATTTGTGACCCTGTGAGGGACCCACTGTTGAGGCCTAAAAATCACCGTTTCCTGTTTCAAACACTATTAAGAGCACAGAAGGATTTTACTGCGAGTTAAGCATGGAAAGAAGCAGTGAAATGGTGATGGCTCCAGGCCTGGGGAAGCCTGGCTGGCACATATGAGTAATATACCCAGAGAAGGGTCTCCACCATGGCAAACAGTGTGGAGGGGCAACTGGTTGTACACATATAATTGGCCAGGCAGGGTTGTTATCTGACCCTAAGTCACAGGACAGATGTCATCTGCAACCACCAATAAACACTGACGCACAATCTCTCACCCCTGAATATGCCTGGAGTACAGATTCCTGGAACTTGGACTGTAAATTAAGCCAATACATATTCATTCCTTTGTTTGATAAAATGTATAAATAGTGGTAAGCTTTGAACAAGCTCTGGACCCCCACCACTAAGAAGCCTAAGGTGAAGAAGGACCAATGGAACACTGCTGAATCCATGGGTGGTGATATATCTTCTTTCTATTTAATCTGTCTCATTCTCCTACTCCCTTCTTTTTTCTTTATTTCTCTCTAATTCGTATTTGCTGTTAAATAAAATTTATACTATTGGTTTTGGGATAAAGTGTTGTTTGCACCTCAATGAGGGTAGAGGCGTCTCTCTAAAAGTAAGGTCACAACATCCACGCTGGAGCAAGCTGTGCACAAAGGATCAGGGCCCACGGAAAAGTGACCCAAGCTGGAGCAGCTCATGGGTAACTGCTGCCCATGGGAGGGACTCACACTGGAGAAGTTCATGGAAAACTGCCTGCTGTGGGAGGGACCCCACATCAGAGCAGGGAAAAGATTCCTCCCCCTGAGCAGCAGCAGGAGCAATGTGTGATGAGCTGACCATAACCCCCATTCCCATCACCCTGCACTGCTGAGGGGGAAGACCTAGAGCCCAGGAAGGAGGGAGGGGTGGGGGAAGGTGTTTTTATGATTTGTTTTACTTCTCATCATCCTGTTCTGATTTTGATTGGTAGTAAATTTAGTTAATATCCCCAAGCTGAGTCTGTTTTGACTGTGACAATAACTGGTTTGTCACCTCTCCTGGTCCTTATCTCAATTCATGAACCTTTTGTTACACTTTCACTCCTCTGTCCACATGAAAAGGGGAAAGGGAAAGTGCCTTTGATGGGTGCCTGGCACCCAGCCAGGGTCCACCCACCACACTATGAACAATAAAATCTGTGCTTCTTGGACCACACTACCATGCTGTTGAAACAATGGGCAAAGCCATGATTACAGCTATTTCCTTCATTTTAATGTGTGAATAAGTAGTTTTCTACCATCATTCTAACTAATTTACATTTTCTTAGGCAATAACCAAACATTTTTTAAGCCTTTGTACATGCTGTGAGACACAAGTCACACGTGTCTCTCAAGTCATGCCTTAAATCCTGCAGAAACACATCCAACCCAGCACAGCATCATGGAGTGATAGAGTATCTCATCATGAGGGTACAGACTGAATTGCAGGATTGGATCTTAATAAATCTCCCAGGATTTCTTACAAAGCTCCCCCAGCATCCTGTAAGGGAGGCACTTTGCCATCCAGACTCATCCAGGGCTGTGGTCTAGCTGTGTAGCTGTGACTGGCTCAGGCTTTCACGTACAGACTGAGTCCTACCTGTTGAAAGTTGTTTTGCAGAGGGATAAGCAAAAAGTAAATAATCCATGACTAACATTCCCAGTTCTGCGGGAAATGCAGCCCCTTTAATGATCCAGCAGCTGGAACAAATGACTGCTCACTCATAACATACACATTTCAGTTGTCATAGAAACGCACTTAGCAACAAAGAATCCTTGACCTTTTCCCCATCTGTTTTGAATCTTCACAAAGGCGCATTAATTTCTATATATTGATTTTTCCTGTTTTTTTTCCCTTTTTTTTTCTCCACACCCAAATACCACACTCTGTGTGGCTTCCAGACATCAGCAGAACTCTTCCATAACTTCAGGGGCAGTACTGAAGAAGTCCTGCCTCTCCTTACCCCTGTTCACTGCAGGGCACCAGCTAGCTTCTGACAAAAAGTTGAGAGTGGATATCAGAAAACATTTCTACACTGAAAGGGGTGGTCAAGCCCTGGCAAAGGCTTCCCATGGCAGTGATGGAGTCTCCATGCCTGGGTGCATTTAAAACCCATGTGGATGTGGCACCTGGGGATTTGGATTAGTGCTGGGCTTGCCAGTGCAGGAGGAATGGTTGGATTTGGTGGTCTGAGAGGTCTTCTACAACATAAACAATGCTATCATTCTATATAAAGATGACTGCAAATTAGGCTGTGCAACTGACTACTCCACCTGAACCTGGAAACTTGAAAAACAATCTGTTTCAGTTTGGGAGGGGTGAGGGAAGCTCAGGGCTCTGTGGTTTTGGATTAACCAGAACAGTAAGAGTCTGTAATTAAATCAGAGCATCCTCTTCAAATGGATGGAGATAATCCAGAAAACAAGAATATTATCAAAGGCCAACATGTATATAGCAACACCACCATGATGAGAACAGCCTTAATACAAAGGGCATCACTAAATTCCAGGAAGAAACAGAGATGGATGAAATTAATCCAGACTCTGAGTAATGGTGAAATCACTGCATGTTCTGAAGGCACAGAGATTTTAGATAAAGCTTGCCTGATGTAATCAGATTAGCCATCAAATTAGATCCCGAGTTTGGGTGTTTTTTCAGTATGTATCATCAACTCATGTTTGCCATTTGAGATAAATAGAATAAACTAAATCACAAATTATCTTAGATTTAAATAATTTTTTTTTTTTTTTTTTTTTTTATATAAGTGATTTTGGGCAGGTCCTAGTGCTCAGTTTACTTTTTCTCTTTAATTCTACACTTTCCCTCAAACTGATGATATTTACAGCAAGATCTTTTTTCTCCTCTTCTCTCCCCAAACAATTATGAATGAGAAAAAGAAAATAGTGCTGCACATACATGCATAAATGAACACACACACATAAACACACACACAGAACTCAAATATCCACTAAAAAATAAAAAAAAAGAACTTTGAAACACCTAGTGTTTCTTGAGGAAAATTATTAAATACATCGTTTTCCCATTAAAACAGATTTTTGAAATAATTGATTGACAATTTTTATCCATCTTAAATGTTTTCCAAATTACACAACAGAGAAAGGATTGTGTAACAGCAATAACAAGGCAGTTGCAGCTTTATCAAATCTCTCAAAGCAGTGGATCACTGTTAAAATTCAAAACACTTCCTGCAACACCTGACACTTTCTTAGTGTCGGAATTTATTTTTTTTTACAAGGAACAGTATGGGTTGTTATGATTTGGGAGGTTGGTTAGGGATCACATCCTGGGTCATTTGTTGTCTGCAGACCTCAGCTTAAGTAATGCTGGTGAAGAAAACTTTTGTGTATGTTGGAAAAAGCAGTATGGATACAAGTCACCTTCCATTTATCTACTCCGACTGCACTAAAAGGTAAATAAAGGAGATACAGAGCTGTGAAGGCTTTTGGAGAAACAAACAAACAAAAAAAGAACATTTTTAGAATTGAGAAGTCCTGAGTTCTAAGTTCTAAGTGGCTTGTCTGTAGTTTAGCTAAAAACAGATGGTGCATGTCTGGGTCTAATGTATTTTTTTTTATGCATTAATAAATGCAATGAAAAACAAGCAGAACAGGTGAAAAAAGAGCATGGCAGTGTAGAGAGAGAAAGAACTGGTGTATTTTCAGAGCTGATGATTGCTGATTTTTACATGAGCTGGCTCGTATTCGACTTTTTTTTTTTAAATGTTTGGGTTTGTGTGTAAATGGAGATATCAAAATCATTATTTGGGTTCCCATTTAAAATTTATCATAGGGGTGTATCTGCAAATCAGTACCTGAATGTTAATTTTGGGCAGCTCCTTCTACAGAACTCATAGTCAGAATCTTAAACCCCATCAAAATTGATTGATTTGGCTAGCACTAGCATCAAGGCTAATTCCATGTGTTAATACAGGTCAGAATCCTCCGAAATCCTCTGACAAGCTGGATGGGGCTCTCACCAACCTGGTCTAATGGAAGGTGTCCCTGTCCAGGGCAGGGAACAAGATGACTTCTAAGGTCCCTCCAAACCCAAACCATTCTGTGATTCTGTGATCCAGCTCACCTTTACATCACCAGGGGGCTGAAGCTGAATTTTCCATGTGCTTTCCTGGAGCTTGGACCACCCTCTGTCCAGAGATCTGAATGAGCCAATGTGCATTTTTCCTGCTCTTCAGCTCTACAGCACTTTTAATCTTGCTGGTGTTTAAGCTGTGAGCATAAAAAACAGTTACAGCAATTGCAGATATCCCTGTTTATAGGAATTTAATGAAAACCTTCAGCATAAAATTCACCAAGCAGCATCTTGCCGTTGGAGCAGTTGCATTTTAAGCACCAATAAACTTGATGGAAATCACAGCAACACCACCTCACATAAACCTTTTGGCAAACTTAAAATGTGGAGGCAAATTCCTCTCCAGGATGGGTGGGATATTTTTGGCACAATTTTCTTCACTTTTTGTCCTTCCCTGTAACACCTAATTAGTTAATCATGCCCACAATTAGTTAAAACATGTCACCATAACTTCTACTCACTTGCCCAACTCTCATTGCCACACACTCTAAGATATGTTCTGTATTCAGGCAGGTAACACAAGGCCACACAGAACCCTGTAACACTTAGTCTGAAACATTTTTGGGGACAATTTATTGGTTTTCTCCCTTTGGTAATGTTCAGAGGAGAGACAAAGGGATAACCCCTTTCCTTTGATGGTCTCAGGAATAACCAATTGTGTATCCTTCACCTCACCTTCTGCAGAGCTCTGCTTACCATCATTTACGGTTAATGAAGAAAAACCTAATAAAAAGGCCTAAAAACTCTCTTCCTAGTGCAAATAACACATAGAGAATCTGTGCTGGAAAGAGAATATTTGCAGTGGACAGTGAGTTCATTCTCTGTACAAACAGGAAAGGCCAGGCCAGTCCTGACATGAGATGAGTCACATCCACTGCCTGCTACCCCTCCAGGCAATATTTAACTGTTCAGCCTCACAGACCCATGCTCCAGCACTCCCAGTGGGGTCAGCAGAGCCACCTTGAAACAAAGTTCTTTGTTCCCTTCATCAAGACTTCATCCCAGACTGAAGGAGGGAAAGGTAATTTATTTGTCTGAAATCACTGTATCAAATAATTGCATTTAAAATGCTTGCTATAATCCTCAGGGCATGAAACATGGGCCTTGGAAGAATGGTCCTAGAGCTCTGTTGTTTTTAAGGGCTGGTGAGGGCACAGGGAATGGCAATATCTGTTATGCATGGAGAAATAGCCAAGCTTTTTGACACACAAGCTCTTCTCTTAACCTGAAAGAGAAGCAGCACCTGACAGTTTTAAATCTGGGTGGAGAACAAACTGTTCTGTGTTACATCTGATATGGTAAGCAGTTAAATCATCTGAGGGAAAATGTCACTGGTATCTGTACAGCAAAAATTAGTGTTCACAGGGAAGAAGGTGATAATCTTCCATGGGGAAAAGCAGAGCCAGGTGATTCATCATCTTTAGGAAAGGTAGGAGGAGGCAAAAAGAAGGAGGAAAACAAAGCACACCTCAAGCCAGTGTTTTTCCTGAATCCAGTATTTTTAGTGTTCAGTGCTGTGTTGAATTCCAATTCACACATTTGTTTTTTGAATGATTTTGTGTGGAGGTTGTTTGGAAGGAGTGGGGTGCAGAGTCACTTTCCCTTGAGATTCAGGATTGAGAAGCCAGAGCTAGAAGGGTTATTCAGTGAGAAATCCCCTCTCCCTGAGTTTCTGGTGCTTCTGTTCCTTTCTGAATGCCTTCAGAAGCCTGTGCTTCTGCACGAAGCTTCCAGGAGAACACACTTTGCATGGGAGGACATACCTTGCTTTCAGGTACTACCCAGGTGTCCTAAAAGAAAAACTCACAAGTTTTGAATGCTGTATCATCAAAGTAATTTACTGTGGTGAATATGTTTTCAAACAGTGTATTTTTACTCTGAAAATATGTTTTCAAACATATCCACACTTCCAGAACAGTCTGCCTCCATCCAGAGGGCTGGCTTTTGGGAGAAAGTTTTGAGGAACTGGGGAGTGCTTTGAAAAGGCTACAGAAATCTAGGAAAATCCATGGAAAGTCATTGTTTATAAAAGACAGCTAGCACAGAAAGCACAGTGAAGCAGAGAATGATAGTCTGTTGTTGAATCTAAGAAACGATTCCTACTATCTATGTATATTATAACCACAAGCAAATACACAAATAATTGTGTACACACAGTTTTGTTACACTAGTGGATGACATCAAGTGGCTCCAAAACTAAACACAACTGAGCCAAAACCCAACTACAAGCACCCTTCCAGCCCAGACAAGTGAGGTGATGAAGAACCTTGATCAAGCTGGACACAAATAGTGGTGCAACTTCCCAGGGACAAAAATCCACAGAGCTGGAGTCCCCCTGCTTGCTTGAGAACATGGAGAGGAGTATCCATGACCAGCTCCATTATTCACACTACTTTTGTTCCTGTTTATTTTTCTAGGCATTACTGAAGTGACTGACTGTCACATGTTGGGATATGACCCTCCTGACAAAATGCAGCAGCGTATGTTAAGCTACTGATGGAGCACATTCCACCTCCTCAGGAGCATCCTGCCTGACTTGTGAGGGGAAACAGCCCTGACAGGTCCCTCTGACCCTCCTGGTCACAGCTGCACCAAAACCAAAACAAAGCCATGAAAGAAGATCAGTGTGAGTGGTTTCCTGCCCTGAAATGCTTTGATTAGTCCAAGCCCACTATAAACCTGCTCCATAGGGGAAAATTGAGAGAAGCTCTATAAAGCTGAAACTTCAACATGTTTTTATGAAAGAGCTAGAAATCCACAGGGTTTGAAGTTCCATTGAGTTTTTTTCCTAGTCTCTCTTTTTCTTTCACAATGCAAGAAATTAAAAATACATCGGTCATAATTCTGACTTCACCTTATCAGCACTCTGGACTGTTAGAATTACTCCCTTTGACACCAGTACAAAAGGATATTCTGACAGATCCAAGAAAACTCACTTATTAAAAGCAATAAATAGTAGTTATGATCCCAGAGAAGCAAAATCTACTACTCTACTTGTTTTGTGTATGACTTCAGAGATTAGGGGACCCTGCTACTTAATTGCTCAGAGGGACACTAATCTTGTAAAGCTCTTTTCCTAGCAGAAGTTATCAAATAGAAGCAGGACTCCTTAATAAAATTACAGTTATTAAATTCTCCCTTTTTCTGGGAAGTTACTTGGTCCAGAAAAACTTGCCAAAAACACAGAAGAAAAAAATCAGGCTGCAGTATCAAGATGTGAAAAATTCAGATAAATTAGAACTGAGGGTTTATTTCACAGTCTGTTCTGTATGTGTATGTTACTTGGTCATATATACTTTTTCTTTCCCACAAATTAAATTTTCACACCAAGCAACAGTTGAGAAAGGGAAAATTACTAAGGGGTATGTTGTATCCAAATGGAGGTGTCAAAAATATGGTTTCAAAAATCTCTTTTGCACAGGTGGCATTTTTCAGACCCAACATATACAATTTCTGATACTGCAGTTATTTGCCCGGTGGCATTTCAGAGTCTTCTTTGAGAAATTCAGAGCAATTGCATGTTTTCAATAAAACAGTAGTAAGAAGGGGATTAGCCTATTGAAAAAAAAAGAAAAAAAAGTAGTATTTATTAACAGTTTTCCTTGAGATTACTGTGAGACATGGCTGTAGATACCTGGGCTGGAAATGAGGCTGAACAAACTTTGGGGAAGTCATTGGTAGCTTGAAATTATGGTGCTGTAATAGGAGTACCCATCACAGAATCACTGAGGTTGGAAAAGACAGCCAACATCATCAAGTCCAGCCTTCAACACATCATCCACCCCCACGACTGTCTGTTGGCAGATGACTGGGGAGTAACAGGACCAGCACTTTTGATCCACCCTCAAAATGCTCTCCCGCTGCTTTCTCCAAAAGGCAGTGAAGGCACCTTTAACTGCTGCAGAGACCATCTGTGCTGCTAATAGCAGCGACAGAAACTGAGGAAGGAAGCTCCTTGATCAGGCTGTGGGCTGTGTTCTGCTGGCAGCTTCCTCAGAACCTGTCTGTGCCTTTCCCAGGACCGGTGCTGTTGGTGCCACCACGTCACAGGGGATGCACCAGCCGGAGCTGCCTGCCCAGGCTCTGTTCACTTCAGCCTTGGCTCCATCTCTCAAACTGTGACCAAAACAACCCATCTGACTGCAGGATGGAATGGGATTTGCTGTGGAAAACACAGCTCCTGTAGGCCACTCATTATTAATAATTATAGCAGAATAGAAAGCACACAGCTAATTGCTGATCCCCCTGCTATAACCTGATAGATTAATAGAAGCAGCTTTTTCTCCTCCTGAGAGTAGGCTCACTTTCGCATTACAAAAATAATTAAAGTGTAATCAAGTGCTGAGAAGTCACCCAGGAGGTCTGTGCATAATAGCCCACACACACGTTTTATGTTTTGTGCCCAAAACTGCTCACAAAGCACCAAATCTGTCCTGGCATCAGCTCCTGATTCCCCCCTTTGCACGGGAGAAAGGGGAAGAGTGTCTTCCACAGGAGAGCTCTGCACTTTTCACACATTTCACACAGAAAACAATCACTGGAGACTACACTTTCCCTCAGCATATTTTTCCCTCTCCTGAGTCACTTCAGCACTAAATTCTGTTTTGGTGCAGGTGTTAAAGAATTAGGTGCTTTCCCAGCACCTAAAATAAACCCTAAAATTGCTGCAGCTCTGGAAAAAGCAGCACAACCCCAAGCTCTAGACTAACAGACCAATAAATCTTCTTGTGGCTTTTTTTTTTCCCCCATTCTAATTACTCTTTAAACTCATAAATAATTTTAAGAGAGAAGATCAGTGGAAAATTTCAACTCACACACACTTACTTCTCTCTCTATAATTCATTTGCAGCTTCTTTGCAATCCAGGGTGAAAATTACTGCAATTCTTATTGTTTTTCTTCCCTATGCCTGGAGGCAAAACTCCTCTGCAATGACCACGTTTTTACTCACAGGCTTTCAGACTGGAGATCTTCATCTTCTTAAGCAAGAGGCAAAATTATTCACGTATCGGTCTTCTTTTTAAAAAAAAGTGCAAAAGAAAGCAAAATGCATATCTAAAAGTTAATTCTGGTCCTTACAATTAGGAAGAGAAGAAAAATGTCACCCTCCTCATTTTGGATGTGCTGTTTAGGCATTTGGACAGAAAGAAAAATATTACAAAAATATTAACTCACCAAGAGACCAAAGTTAACAGGTTGAATTTCACTGATTTTAAATGGGAAAGAAAAGGAATAATTACTTGATCCTAACTAACTTCTATAGACCATTGCACTTGTGTTCCATATTTTATCTTGAACCCACACACCTCAGTTGGAAGTAAGCATTTCAGTCATTGAGAGTCTGAACTATTGTCTTTCACAGAGGAAAGAAGAAAAACCCAATAGCACTAATGCCAAAGGCCCTTCAGATACCATACCAAGATCTGTTCAGTATGGGATCCATAAAACAAAGGGGGGGAAAAAAACAATTAATGACTCAAACTTCCCTCGAAATCTGAACCAAAATGATGATTCCCAGAAACAAAGCCTAGGGAAAGCATCTTGCAAGACCTGAAGCCAGCAGGCATTTGGTTCTGGATATGTGGACAACAAACAATCCAGGACTCTGGAGTAAGAGGCTTCACCTTTCCATTCTTCAATACTACTCCAATTTGGCCAATGCCCTTGGGCTCTGGCTGTGCTGAGGTGGTTTTCATATTCCAAACCATCTTCTATAATGGTTGTTGAAACTTCTGATGGATCTGACTTCTTTGGCTTTATGTCTTTACGATCCTTTACCTCTGAGATTTTTAAAAAACTCTTGTTAGATGGAAAAGTTTTGAAATTGCACTTTGAAATGCAATGCATTCAGTATCTCGCAGAATTCCAGAATTGGTAAAGGCTGGAAGAAACCACAGGGGGATCATCTGGTCCAGCCTCGCAGCTCAAGCAGGGCCACCCCAGAGCACAGGGCACAGGATTGTGTCCAGAGGGCTCTGGAATATCCCCAGTGATGGAGACTCCACCTCTCTGGACAATCTGTTCAGGGCTCAGTCACTGCCCAGGACAGAAGTTCTGCCTCATGTCCAGGTGGAACTTCCTGGGCTCAGTCCCTGCCCGTGGCTCTGGTGCCATTGCTGGGCCCCCAGAGCAGAGCCTGGGCCCTGCTCTGCCCCTCCCTGCACACAGGGACAGACAGGGATGGGGTCCCCTCTCAGCTGGGGCTCCTCTGGAGGCTGCACAGCCCCAGCTCCCTCAGCCTTTCCTCATCAGGGAGATGCTCCAGGCTCTTCCTCATCTTTGTAGCCCTCTGGACCTGCTCCAGGAGCTCCCTGTCTCTCTTGTCCTGATGAGCCCAGACCTGGACACAGCACTCCAGATAAACATTTTCCAATGTACCTCAAAGTTCTCTCATGAGCAGGGAAATTATCCCCACTGTAACTTGTCCCAAGGAAGTGTTTCTAATGAATATGACTACAGGTCAGGAGAAAAGCGTTGAAGAGTGGCCTCCTGTATAAGAGTCTTATTTTGATGTCATTAGGAATATCTTGTTAGAGTTCTGAACAGAATATTGATTTTGATTTGGGTCAAGAGTCAAATACTTTTTTCCCACAAATGGGAATTAATACATCCAGGGAAACTCCTGAAGTCTCTGCATAAGAATGCAACTCCCGTTTTTCTGGGGTTTTCATAGGGGTCTAGAGAGCATGTACAGGGGATGGAGAAGGCAGCAATGCACCTGAATACTTTTTAAAAAATAGCACCTACTTGACTTCAATTTCATCCAGTTTCACCTCCTACTCTTCTGGAGTGAAATGGTGGTGCCACACTTCTGCAAGACTAATAGCACAAGAATTATGCACAATATGGGGATTCTTCTGTAATCTTTTTTGACACAAATAACATGCTGACTTTCACATCCCTTTTTTTTTTTTTTTTTAATTACTGTTTGGTTGGTGATTATTTGCAGGAGATAAAGAATGTTTGAAGGCTTCTACATTAATTAAGTTTCATCTTTTTAGACTGTTCTTTACATGTAAAGGTAATTGGTTTTAGTTGTTATAAATCTTGTGTAAAATTCCTCAAGCAATAAACACAAGCTGTATCTCAGTAATTGTCTATTGACTACACTTTCCAGTATGAATTAATTTTCAATTACAAACTTCCTTTCTTACAGTATCAGGTTGGAAGTCTGCATTTTGAACACGTAAATATCCTCATCCTGTGCAAATTTGTCTCACATTATACTGGAAGAAGAGAGAGATTCATTGAGCAATCACCAGTCTGAATATCAATGCAGCATGACAATAACAGTGTATGTCAAAATTCAGGTTTCCTCTGCAAATTCCCAGACAGCAACAAAGACACGTTTCCAACCCTAATTATTTTTATTGCGTTACATTGTGCTCTTCTCTGCTTCATCTTTAAAAGTTAATGGCTTGATTAGGAAGGGGATCCTAAACTCAGTCAAACTTTTACAACGACCACAAATGACATCTATCCCTACTTAATGGGGAGAATTTTATGAGGAGACTATAGAAGTGAGAGGGATAGGAAAGTCTGAGCTATCACATCTCTTTCTGCACAGGGCTACAGCAGGACTTTCACAAGTGTTCATCTGGAGTTGAGTGCCTAAAGTTTCCCAACGCTTTCAGAAATGTCTTGATGTACCTAAATGCCATTTTAGCTGTGGGATACTTTCCGCAGAAAAGCAGCTGAACCCCATCTTAAAAATCCACATGACTCACCCAGCACCACAATGTTTGGTGAGCAGATCCTCAGAGAGTATAAGTCATGATGAGGGAAATGACAAAAATCCTCCCATATCATATCTGGGGGAGAGATGCTGGCTTGGGGCCTGAAAACTGCCAGTTGTCCTGCTGGAGAGAGCACCAAAGCCCTCTGGGGGAAAAAAAAGAGGTGCTGATTCAAATGGATAAAATGCCATAATGGACTTCTGCTGCCAGAAGTGGAGGTGCCCATCCTTCTGTCTTGTCTCTTCCTCACAGCCAAGGGCTCCCCACCCTCCCCTGTGCTGACTCTGGATGTAACCATTATAACTGTTTTATTAAATAAAAGAGAAAAAAACCCCTACCACTCTTTCCTCCCCTGAGACATGGGGTTCTAAGAATACTGAAGGCAGCACCACACAAATGGACAAGAGGAGAAGCTGGAAGGAGGTCCTATCCCAATGCCAGAGAAATGTGAGCAGCCTTTGAATCCTCTCCCTTGAAGGCTGAGACATCCTGACTTTACACAGGTCTTGTAACACACAGAGAGAAGTAATCCCATGTGGTTTCCCACTTAGTGCCCATAGTCTTTCCAATGGGAAATCTGGGTGCCCCATATTTTCTCTTTCCCACAGGAGTGTCTTGGATGCCCCATGCTATCTAAAGGGCCTGGATGTGTATGTTTAGGCACCTGAATCTCTCCACCAGCCAGCTCAGTTGATGCCACAAAGTTTCAATAATATCAGTGACTTTAAAGGGCTGTACTCCCTCCAAGAAAAGGGGATATAGTCACTCTTAATAATTACACAAGGTGTGAAAAAGCAGAAGTGTCTTTACAAGAAGTTCCAAGTAGGAGAATATCAAATTATTTTTAAGGTATAAAATAGAAACTAATAAACAAGATATTTCAAGCTACGTGTTCAGCACAACTGCATTTCAAATTTCTGAGTTCCTATTTAGGAATGCTAATAAGTTTTACTGGCTCAGTGCTACCATATTTCTGACAGGAAAAAAGAGAATATGTAATATATACACATATATCTGTAGATTTCCACGCACTTGGGCATTTAAAAATAGATATTTTTCTATTCTCTGGTATGTGCTGTAACTGAAAAAGGAACAAGAAGAAAAAAAAAACCAAGAAAAAAAACCAGGGAGAAATAGAAAGATCAATATTCCCTGTGCAGGAATCCTGGCAATGGGACTGAAAAGAACATGATGGTACAGGCACATAAAGTGAGGCTTGACCATGTCACTTGACCACTGCAACATGAAAAGCTCTATTAGCGAGATTTGTCCTTTTCCTTCTCTTTTCCTCCCTGCAGGATTTGTCCTTTAGTCTGTGAAATAAAGACTTCAGCAAACAGTGCCACCAGATGGGCCCTCAGTGGAACTGTATTCACTCAGCGATAGGAGAAAAAGAAAACCCCAAACTTCAGCATTTCTATTAATTTCATCCTATCTTTTCATCTCTGCTCTGGAAATTCTCCCTCTCTAGCGAGAAACTGAAGGTTTTATAGTGTCTTACATAATAAGGTGAAAAGACCTTGGTTTTACTTTTTGGTGCAATAACTTTGTGCTTGCAAATTTCTCATTTGAGGTTAATTTTCTCTTCAGATCATGTGACCTGTACTGCAGACAGGCAGAGCAAGATAGTTCTGTATACTTCTAATGGATTTATTTAAAGGGATGATGTGAGGAGCCGATTTACTTTTGATTTGTCTCAACCCTGGTTGTCAGAGGGTTGTGGGGGAGGAGTTGGACAAGGAGACACGGAGGAGAAGATGGAGGAAAGCCTTGTTTCTGGGGGGACTTTGCCTGGCAACCAGTTCATGTCTCACATGGGGTAGGCAACAGCAGGGGAACACTGAAGCTGAACCCTGCAGAGACACTCTGCAGCTGATGGCAAATGGTCTCTACCAGTGGACGGCACTGAGACATTGGACTGAGCCAATGGTCTCCTGTTAGCAGGCAGACTTTGGGAGGAACCAGCAGCACAAAAGTAACTGTGTCACAAGCCTTGGGGGCTTCTGAGTCTCATGCTTCTGCACTGGCCCCAGCCCACCTTCTGGCTCTTCTGCCCTCGCTGGCTCTTGCTTGCCCTCATGTCTGTCCTGCCTCCCTGCATATCCATATCCAATCAGAAACAAGAACTAGAAAATTGCTTAATATGCAACGATATTGTTGTAAGTGTTATAAGAGAACTAACTGTTGTAATATGTTGACCAATCGTTAATGATTGAGTTATAAGTTATGTACCTAGTTAATAGTTAATATATTTGTTGTTGGAGATTAGAGGTTGTCTTGGGTTTATAAGGGAAGTGGGGGAAAACCAGTGATTGGTATGGGATGTAGTCAAGTGGAGATGCGGATGGTCCAGGGATGGTAGGGTATTGCATGGTGATAAGTTAAAAGAATATTCCAGAATATGATCTCCCAGAGGTGACATCGACACCCAAAACCACCTTTGGTGGAGAAAACAACCGATCACTTGATGCCCTGGGAGAATGACTGGTCTGGAGTGCACCCCACTGAAGACCAAAGAGAGCTGGATTGAAGGGCTAGGCCTCAAGAACATCTGGGCTATAGAATCCTGCGAGAGTTGAGGGGACAACAGGTGGCCGGGTTTAGAGGCCTCAAGATCATTTGGGCTTTAGGACCCTGATGAGGATCCAAGTTTGAGTTGATTAGAGATTAGTTTGCCTGTCTTTAGTTCTTTCATTTGGGTAGAGGCATCTTAAGGAACTTTTAGTGTGAAGGGCCAAATCAGTGTAGGTTATTTATAGATTATATTGCCCGTCTTTAAGTTTTTGTTTGGGTAGGGGCACAGAAAGTTTGTTTTTAAGGCCTGATTAAGAGATAACGATGGGGAAGTGTGTAAGTAAGGAAGTAAGACCCAAGAAAAAGAGTAAAGCACAAAAGAACATCCCTCTTGACAGTCCACGGGGGCAATTGTTAGACAAATGGGAGACATATAATACTACAAACAGCCTAGATCAAGTTAAAATAATTCATTATTTCATAGAGGTTTGGCCCAATCTAGAACTGCAAGCGGAGTGGTCGTGGTATGGGTCCAATGGTCCCTGGGTTTGTTCCAAACTTAACTGCTATATATAAGGGGTCAAGGAAACCCTAATTTGGAACAACTAACCTATGTGGCCTGTCGGGAAAGAGATCTCACTAAAGAAGAGACAATTAAGATCTGTAAACTTAAGAACTGAGAACAGGAGAAAGGGGATAAAGAAGGAAAAGAATCAGAGAAAGAAGTTCATGGCAAATGGGATCCCCTAGACTATCTTCCTCCTCTCCCTGTTTACCTGTTTACCCAGCAGCACCCCAAATCCCTCTATCCTAACTTCAAGCACTTCCCCAATTAACACTGTAAGCCTGAGCCCTCCACCAGCCCTGGTTATCTCCTTCACCATCTCCTGCCTCAAATGTAAACATCCGTGTCCAAGATCCAAAGTCCCTACCTGTCACGCCTTCAGCCTCCTCTTCAATCCCTTTACAAACTTCCTCGACTCTCTTTTCTCTCTAGCTCAGCTTCTCTCCCTTCTCTGCTACTCTGCCACTTCCTCCTCCTAATTGGGAACTAAGTTTATCCACCTCTTCTTCAAGCCCTCTGTCTAATACAAATCCAGCAGAGGGACCATATTACAATACCCAATTTAAAACCTCCAAAGCAGAAAAGCTCTTTCCCCTTAGGGAAGTTCCTATGGGAGGAGTAGCTAGGGGAGCTGGCTTTGTAAATGTGTCCTTGACTGTAGAGGCTCCAGAGCCAAAAGCTATCATGATGTGGAAGGAGACCTCCAGGGTGTAAGCTTTTCCTCCATTTTTAAGTTAATAAGAAGGGCTTTTCCCATAGTGCTTTGCATCTCCATTTTGTTGTACAACAGTTCAGATACCCGGTTAGCCTTTTGGCTGTCCCTCCCTTTTTCACCTTGTCTGTTCTCTCCCTAGAAAGTTCTCCTCTCCCTGTTCCCTGGTTGGCCCCAGTTTGGTGCAATCCTCCACCTCTGTAATCCCATTGGCTCTCCCTCTCCCTGACCCCGCCTCTGCACCACTTTCCCCTCTTCCCATTGGACCCTGACCCTTGGATCCGTCCCCTCAAG